ATTTTCTTAATAAGTGGCTGGGTGAAAATAAATTATAAAATTATAAACAAAATCTATGTAGAATTTCAAAAAAGTCATGAGTCGGCACGAACATGACACATGTCTGCTTTAGACTAATCCTTTGTATCACTGCCACACCGTTTCATGCTTCGTCCTTCCAATACCCACTTCTTTTTTATCTACAACAATTTCACTATAAATCAATCTTCACAAATCCTCCATCATCTTCCTCAAAAGGTTCTGCTAATGGCGACGCCTAAGTTTACCAGAGTACCAAGCATGCGAGAGCGTGTTGAAGACACTCTTTCCGCTCACCGCAATGATATCGTCTCTCTCCTTTCCAGGTAGGTACCTAATTAATATTTCTTTCATTTTACCAATAATTAACTGTTTTAATCCACTCATGTCTTTCTGTATCTGTATAGGTATGTGGATCAGGGGAAGGGCATATTGCAGCCTCACCACCTTCTCGACGAACTTGACAACATCATTGTCGATCAGACTTCCCGCCAAAAGCTTGCGGATAGTCCTTTCGGCCAAATCCTCAACTCAGCGCAGGTAAGTATTACTAAACCTCCTGGTTTCAATTAATATGCTCCCGTATTCTACTACAATACCTCAAACCTTGACTAGCTAGGCTCATGCTTGCTTCCGAGTTCATATTTCTGAGCCTCCAATCTCAGATCATCATCTTCAAACTGGTAATTGCAAATTAACTTTGAAAATGCTAGCTGCTAATGTGCCCTATAGATTAGTTGAGCTGGTGTTTCTCAACCTTCATTACTAAACGCTCTAATCCAGTGGCGCAATTTGAGTTTTCAATTCTCCTTTTGTTTATCATGTATGTCTCTGTGAATTTACTTTTACTTTGTTTCATATCATATAGGAAGGCATAATTCTTCCTCCGTACGTAGCTTTAGCKGTTCGTCCAAGACCCGGTGTTTGGGAATTTTTGCGTCTGAACGTAAACGAACTAAGCGTAGAGCAGCTAACTGTTACTGAATACCTTATTTTCAAGGAGGAACTCGTGGATGGGCGGTGAGTAACTTTCACTATCGGTCTTTGGCCGGCTTATATACATCAGAATCATTTGATTTCATAATATCAACAGATAGGTGGAATAAAATACCTGTGACCATGTGCCTGATTGTCATTATGTTATAGGAGTAGGAACCCTTTTGTGCTTGAACTGGATCTCGAACCATTTAATGCTACATTTCCTCGAATGTCACGCTCTTCATCCATTGGCAATGGAGTTCAGTTCCTCAACCGCCACCTCTCTTCAATCATGTTCCGAAACAAAGATTGTATGCAGCCGCTTCTRGATTTCTTTCGTGCCTACAAACATAAAGGATATGTAAGTTTAACTCGTTGGTTTTGTTTGGATAATTCTACAGCTTTTGAGCTGGTTAGTGTGACGCCCTGAAGCATCTACTATCTTCGCTTAAAACTTGCCTTCTTGATTACTATAATTGAAGTAGCTGAATTTTTTTCTCTGTGTTAAAATTTGTGATACAAAACCACTGCTGTTACTTATACCTAACAAGTCGCTTTCGACCTCAATTTGGCTTCACTTTATAGGTGACATCATGTTGCGTTTGTTGTCGCATCCAGCAACTTGGCATATTGGGCGACTTTCATAAGCCACTTTGTAGTTGTGTTGGCTACCTGGCAACTTGTTTGACGATTTCAAATCGTTTTCAAAGTTGCCTGTGAACTTTTGGTGGATTAATAGTTTTAGCAGTGCTGAGCCGATCGAGGATTTTTTTGCTAGCCTRTTATAGCTAGGAAGGATAACATTTTGAGAGCAATTTATTAACATAACGAGTGTTATTTGTCAGATTATTGCTTTAGTATTTGGTTATCTCTCTTTTGTAATCCCCTTTCGGTTTGTGAAATTYAATCCTCCTCCCCTTCATGTGGACGTACACTATCTTACCGATAGTGGAACTACGTAAATTTCATTGTCATTATTTTGTTGCTTAATACTTTTATCTTTTTTTAAGTACATAATATTTATATACTGTAAATGAGACTCCTCTAAGAAGGTTGGGTTACCGAATACCGCTAGGYCAAAGACCCTTTGGTTTTTTTACTTTTGTTATCGTGTGTTGGATATTTTTTTGTACATGTTGTTTCGATCCTGTTTGTTCTTCATTTGGTTGTTTGGAGGCATTCTCATCTGATTTCTGGGACTGTGGTCGGAATCCCTAACAAAATGTTMATGTTGCATCATGTCAAATGAGTTTTTTTAGCAACTGTTTTTACCTTCTGAGGATTGTAACAGGCAATGATGTTGAATGACCGGATACAAAGCATGTCTAGACTCGAGTCTTCTTTGGCAAAGGCGGAGGATTATCTTTCTAAGCTACCACCTGATACATCCTACTCTGAATTTGAATATGCGTCAGTATATCTCCCATTATCGAAGTTCATACTTTAAAGTGACCATTGAGCCTTTTCTTCTCAAATGTGTTCGATTTCGTGATGCAGATTGCAAGGAATGGGGTTTGAAAGAGGTTGGGGGAATAATGCTGAAAGAGTTCTCAGTATGATGCGTCTCCTCTCTGATATTCTTCAAGCGCCTGATCCCTCCATTCTTGAAAATTTTCTTGGAAAGATACCAATGGTCTTCAATGTTGTCATATTATCTGTGCATGGTTACTTTGGGCAGGCGAATGTTTTGGGTTTGCCGGACACTGGTGGCCAGGTACACCCTTGCATTACCAACTAATAATCCAAAACATGGATTTGTCACCAGTCCAATTTGGTTGATCTTTCTCTCATATGATTTTGATTGTATCCATTTGGTGGGGTTTGTGTTTTYCGTGCATGCGATTGGTGATTGGGGATGGGAGTATTGAAGTATAATTGTGATCTATGTCCTACTAACAATTACTTCTTTTCTCTTTGAAATACAGGTTGTATATATATTGGATCAAGTGCGTTCCTTGGAGAATGAGATGTTACTTAAATTAAGGCAGCAAGGACTGGATATCAACCCTAAGATTCTGATTGTAYGTATTAACATGAGAGTCAAGTTGATACTTGTCAAAAACGGCATGTATACTTGCAAGCGATTCATCTTATTTCAAATCCATCTAGTGTCATGTTTTACAATTGCTTTCATGACAAGCACCTTCATTTTTCAATCTTATGCTGCTGTAGYTTCTCATTCTCATTCCCATTTCAGGTGAGTCGATTGATACCTGATGCCAAAGGTACTTCATGCAACCAACGGTTGGAAAGAGTCGTTGGAACTGAATTTGCCTATATATTGCGTGTTCCTTTTAGGAATGAGAAAGGGATTCTTCGTAAATGGATCTCAAGGTTTGATGTATGGCCTTATTTGGAGGCGTTTACAGAGGTAATTCAATCTAGTAGATTGAATTGTCTTATGCTTTCTGCGGGGTCAAATGTTGGTCACGGTTTTACTTTACTGTTGGCATCACATGGACACTATCATGCCCAAGTTTGTTCTGTTCTGGAAAAGTATGTGCTTTTCTATAATGTAGATGCAAATCTTGCAATTTCTAGCAAAAGATACCTGGCCCATTGGATTAAAAGAAAAATACAACTAAGAAGTACCTTTGAAATCTGAACTGTACTACTAGTATGTATATGCTGCCTTATGGTTCTAGCATAGAATAGGATCTCCCACAGTCTTTTAGAGATCAAGCAGTTGGTAGTTAACATATATAAGATCATGATGTTAGGAATTTTACCTATATATTATCTGTTGTAGYGTCTCCAAAGTCAAATGAGTACAAGTGGACGTAAAAGTTAAAACAGTGGTAAGCACCAAAAGGTCCGTCAGTGAGATTGGTCTGCTTGCACCAGCAGGATATTAATCTTTCAACATTGGTATCAAGATGATTCAAAATGTGTTRTTTTGCGTAAGAGGTTACTTAACTTCCTAATAGTTACTACTGCAATTCTGACTCACTGTCACTTTGGGCCTTTAGTGCTTACCACAATATTTCTTCAGTATAACCACAATTTTTTCATGTTGCTTGCAATGCAGCTAATAAGCTACAAACTTTACATGGGTTGTGTATCTTACCTCTTCCTTCACCCAGAAACATGAAAAATTAACTGCTAAATATTCTTAGATATTTTGTAATGATCAATTGATTATTCTATTTGGTTCATTATCAGGATGCAGCAAACGAAATTGCTGCCGAGTTGCAGGGTGTTCCAGATTTGATTATTGGAAATTACAGTGATGGGAATCTAGTTGCCTCCTTACTATCTTACAAAATGGGAGTAACCCAGGTAAGGATCTGTATGAATATCTTCGTCTTAAGATGAAAATTTTAGTTCTTACGAATTTATGCTTTTTATGTCCAAACTACTAATATATGCAGTGTAACATTGCACATGCCTTGGAGAAAACAAAATATCCGGATTCCGACTTATATTGGAAGAAATTTGAAGAGAAGTACCACTTTTCATGTCAATTTACTGCCGACCTTCTAGCCATGAACAATGCCGATTTTATCATCACCAGCACGTACCAAGAGATTGCAGGAACGTAAGTTCAATTACGATGAATGATGATATTAAAAGTTTTAGTTGTTTCTGTTAAAATATGACGTGATGTGCTAAAATACGAAGAACTGAGAGTTTAGGTTGGTCTAAGTTGCTCCTAAGCTTAGGATTGATCATAATACGATCAAGCCCGTCCAGACGTTCATAATTTAGGCCTGATGGAGTATTCTTTATTTGAATTCACATAGTTCCTGCAAGTTTTTTCAGAAAATGATCAACGAATCCCTTTGGTTTTTAGAGACTGGAAAGATATTAATACATGATTTAGTCTGGCATTTAGTCAATTTTCTCTAATTGTTGCAGATTTATTTCCTYCATTTACATTGGATACAGTTTGCTCTAGCATTTGCGAGATATTGTATTGACAACCTCATTAGATGTAATCAGACCRAAAAATGCCAGTATCGATGGGTACAGTATTGTTTGGATTATGGAGTCGATGATGATGGTTCATGGTTGATCAATATGATCACTGTATCATGGATGTCCAGTACATGTATGTGGCACTTATGATAGTTCTGTTTCATGAATGTCCACTACATGGAAAAGCAATCCCATTMTGGAAAGAATAAAGGCATAAATGAGTATCTGTCCCTCCCCCTAAAACTGGTGCACGTTATAAATTTATTTAGTTGTTTCTCTATTTAGATTTACATGACCTTTATCCGTGTCACAGAACTAGCAATTAATCATGTAGTTAAAAAATCTTCAGTCTTTTTCTTAACCATGAACCTTGTTGCCATTAGAACTGGAACATTTCCTGCTACCTTAGTATAGTTTCAGTGTTTCACCTGTTAAGGCCATAAGCTTTTTCGTTTCTCCATGATACAATTTTACTGCATAGATGATACCGCATGCAACAGTTTACATGTCTCTTATTTCTTTTCAGGAAGAATACTGTTGGACAGTACGAGAATCATTCAGCTTTCACTCTTCCAGGCCTGTACAGGGTKGTTCATGGTATTGACGTCTTCGATCCAAAGTTCAACATTGTGTCCCCAGGGGCAGACATGACCATTTACTTCTCATATTCTGAAAAGGAGAGACGGCTTACATCACTACATAGCACAATTGAGAAGTTATTGTACGACCCTGAGCAGAATGATGACCATGTGTGAGTCATTTCTTGTTCCAATTTATATTATTTTATGCTCAGATGCATTCTAGATCAAATAATTTGGTTGTGAACATGAGCATGCTTCAACTGCATGAATGATGTGTCAAATCTTTATCATTCAAGATCTTGGAGGTTCACAATAAGTCGATAATGACGGGATTGATTGATGATCAAATGATGAAGATAGAGGAGGGTTGCAAATGAATAAGTTCATTATAATTTGGTAATTTGTATAGACCAGATACTCCGTGTATTGGTGTAGGTCAGGATATGYGTAAAGTTTCAAAGGAGGCAGATCGTGTGCTGATAAATTATGTGCCTTGTTTCTTGAACTTGATGCAGTGGCAATATAAGTGACCCGTCTAAACCCATGATTTTCTCCATGGCAAGGCTTGACCATGTGAAAAATATAACGGGTCTGGTGGAGTGCTATGCCAAGAATACTAAGCTGAGGGAGCTGGCAAACCTTGTTTTGGTTGCTGGTTACAATGATGTGAACAAGTCCAGTGACAGAGAAGAAATTGCAGAAATTGAGAAAATGCATAAGCTTATCAAACAATACAAATTGGGTGGTCAGATGAGATGGATATCAGCCCAAACAAATCGAGCTCGAAACGGTGAACTGTATCGATATATTGCCGATGGAAGGGGCATTTTCGTCCAGGTATRTTAAATTTATTAGCCTCATGAAGGTTCACTTGCACGTACTTGTCGCTCTCATTAAACAAGAATGGGAAATGTTTGCAGCCTGCATTCTATGAGGCTTTTGGACTTACGGTAGTGGAGGCCATGACCTGTGGCCTCCCAACATTTGCYACATGCCATGGTGGTCCAGCTGAGATTATTGAAGATGGTGTGTCAGGGTTCCATATTGATCCGTATCACCCTGACAAGACATCTGCTACAATGGCTGATTTTTTTGTCAAGTGCAAGGAGGAACCTAGTTACTGGGTGAAGATATCGGAGGGTGGCCTTAAACGAATATGTGAAAGGTTACCACCAATCTCCTCCTAACATGATTAGTAATTATTGGATAAATAATTAAATTAAGATGGTAATGTATATAGGTACACATGGAAGATCTACTCTGAACGGTTAATGACATTGGCGGGAGTTTACAGCTTCTGGAAGTATGTGTCAAAACTGGAGAGGCGTGAAACTCGACGATATCTTGAGATGTTTTACATTCTAAAGTTTCGTGAACTGGTGAGATTTTCAATCAAAATATATATATGTATACTTGGGATGAGAAAAATTAGGAAGGAAAATGAAGAAAGTTAAGAATTTGAAGAGAAGCATCTTGAAATTCCTAAAAAATAWATAAATAAATAAATACATTTAGTGTTGGATTTGAGTGATACATGCATATATGTGATGGTGGAGCATGCAGGTGAAGTCCGTTCCAGTAGCTGGTGATGAGGAGGCGCATCATGTGAATAGTGAGCAGAGTGGGTGATGAAGAAGCCTCCATTCCTCCATGTCCATGGTATGATCGTTTAAGCTC